ACACCTTGATCTTTCTTTCATTGAACCCATAACCTCAAATGAGGATTGTAGTTCTCTCCTCTCTCCCGTCACCCAATTAGAAATAAAAAAACGCTTTCTTTGATATGAACCCCAACAAAGCCCCGGGCTCAGATGGTTTTGGTGCAAAGTTCTTCCAATCCTATTGGAACATCATAGAATAGGACGTTACTCTTGCAATCCAAAGTTTCTTTTCCCATGGCCATTTACTCCCATCCTTGAACCACACTATTATTTTTCTGATTCCATAAACCAAGCAACCTGAGTCGCCTAATTATTTTCGCCCCGTTAGCTTGGTAAACACAGTTTATAAAGCCATTTCTAAAATATTAGTCACCCGTTTATGTCCAATTCTCAAAAAATCAATTAGCCCGCTGCAAAATGCTTTCACGCCAGATCATTTTCTTCATGATAACATACTTATTGTTCAGGAAGTACTGAATACTTTTCAAAAATCGAAGAATAAAACGGGATGGTGCGCACTAAAGTTAGATATGGAAAAAGCCTACGATGGGATCGAGTGGGACTTTCTTTGGGAGTGCCTTAAAGCTTTTGGATTTCCCGAACAATGGATTAATTGGATTAAAGAATGTGTTACTACTGTGTCGTATTCTCTAAATATAAATGGGGAAACAACCGAATGGTTTAAGCCTTCTCGATGTTTGCGGAAAGGAGACCCTTTATCTCCTTTTTATTTATCCTATGTATGGAGGTAATGATCAGAAAACTCTCTTTAGAAAGCTCGGATCGTAAATCAGGTAATTTGTCCAAGATCGTTCTATATTCCTTGCTTGCTATCCGCTGATGATAGCCTTATATTTTGCAAGGCCACCTCTTCGGCTTGTCGTAACCTAAAAACAGTGTTGGATGAGTTAGCTAGTAAATTTCCATAAATCATCTATTATTTTCTCCAAGAACGTTGCTAATAATCGAAAAGCGAGTTTAGCTTCCAACTTTAACATGATGCCAAAGGCTTCCCTAGGTAGATACTTAGGGGTGCATTTTAGTTCCTTTCATCCAACTAATGTGATTATAGGAATATTATTGAAAAAACAGAGCAGCGTATCCAACTCTGGGAAGCAGGCTACCTCTCCAAAGCCAGTAGACATACACTTATACAAAGCAACTTAGAGGCTCTACCTTCTTAATTATCTATGCTCCTCCTCCCTCGTTCCTGTAGAAGTTGCAAATAACATAGACTCCATCCATCAAAATTTCTTTTGGAGGCAAAACAAGGACAAGAATAGCATTCCCCTCATTTCTTAGGATAAGGTGTGCAGACTAAAGAATTATGGGGGTTTAGGCTTACGACGTACTCTACCTCTTAACAAGGCTTTCATAGCAAAGTTGGGTTGGAAAATAATCTCGAAACCGACCAACCTATAGGTTTAAATCGTTAGAGATAAATACCTTCATAATGCTTCCTTTTTCGAATACACGCCAGGTGCCAAAGACTCCTTTATTTGGAGAACAATCCTAGCCCAGCGAGATATTTTGAAAAAGTGCATTCGTTGGAAAATTGGGGTTGGACAGGATATCTTTTTTTGGATTGACAATTTGGTCACACACCAAAGCCGACTTGAGCTCCTACATATGGACCCCTACCTTGTAGATTTGGACACTAGGATGTCGGATTTTATCTCCGATAATAATCAATGGGATCGTCAGAAACTTAGAGCTTTTCTTCCCTCTCATATTGTCTCTCAAATTATTGGGTTCCCCTTGCCCTCCATCCTGGCAAGAGATAGTTCTGTGTGGGGTCTTACTCCATCTGGAAACTTCTCAGTTAAAACAGCCACATGGCTAGCTCATGATCTCAACCTAGATGACACCAAATAAACTCATCGTTGGATTTGGAAACTAGATATTCCACCAAAATTATTATTATTATTATTATTATTATTATTATTATTATTATTATTATTATATTATTATTATTATTGTTATTGTTATTAATATTGTTACGGTTGACATTTTTTTTTTGCGTGATTAAATTTTTTTAATAACCGATTAAAATTATTATTATTAGTAATGTTATTAGTATTAGGGTTGTTATTATTACTAGAAATAGTAATATTATTATAATTATTGTTGTTATTATTATTATCGTTGTTGGAAATATTCTTATTATTGTTGTTTTTATTAGTATTATTACCATTATTATTGTTATTAATATTGTTATTATTGTAATATTGCTTATTTTTTTGAATTTGAATATTAGTTGTTCAACTTTAATATCATAGTTATATTTTTAATTATTACTGATATTTGATTTTGTACTTATTTAATGTAGATTGAGGGTTCAGGTGCTCGTCATGTAGTATCAAGACGTTTCAATGCGTCTGTTAGGAGGGAGTCGAGTCGTTCGGTAAATACGGGGGCACCGTATCATCATGAGCAGCAATATGGGTCTCCTGGTACTTGGTTGGTGGAGCATCAGTCGCAAAGGAGCCTCCCCATGTACTTGTCGGGTGGAGTGCCTTCATCTGACGATGAGGATGAAGAGCGGGCAAGTCAGGCTGATCGAGATGAAGAGTATGACCCTCAGGATTATCATACGATGCATATGGGTGAGCATGGGAGATTTGTTAGTAGCAGTCAAGCAAGTCAGACTTCCACCAGGTCAGTAGAGACATGGGTAGTGCAGCAGCCGATGCTAGGTGGTCTTGAGGATGGTACTGTTATCCCTAGTTTTGGTGGTCACGTGGCTGCATATATATGGGGCGGGCAGGTGCATAATGTTTTGCGTTGTTTGAGTAGGACACAGTTGTGTTCTGCATTGGTTACCTGGCGAGGTCGTCTTGCACAGGAGCACCCGGAATTGATTGATGGCAGTGGTCTGTCTCACTTACCCGGGATCATGTTTAGGCGTTTTGACTGGCCGTTGATTTCTGCGTTTGTTGAGAGATGGCAGCCAGATACGAACACGTTTCATATGCCGTTTGGGGAGATCACGATCATGCTGCACGATGTGTATCATATTCTTGGGCTTTGTGTTGATAGTTCCATGGTTTCCACTACTCCTAGCACGGACGCCATACGGGACGCGTGCTCGATTACCATGGACATGACTGCGGAAGAGCTGAATGAGGAGTGCGGTACGAAAACCATTTGGCAGGGTAGTGGGGTGCTGACCGAGAGGATTATGGACTTGATCTTGGAGGGGCATAGGCCCTTCAGTGTCCATTACAGTGCCTACATGTGGTTAGTATTGGGCGTATGTCTGTTTTTAGACAAGAGTGGTAACCATACTCATCCGTCCTTCCTCAACGAGCTTGTTGTTGATGATCTTCCGATCAATGAGTTCTCTTGGGGTTCATCTGCTCTAGCATATCTGTATCGCCAGTTGGGTACGACATCAAGAAAAGATGTCGATTCAATCGTTGGTTGTCTCACGCTTCTGCAGGCGTGGATCTACGAGTACTTTTCGTGCTTCCGGCCTCAGCAGGGTACCTTGACGAGGGAGCTTAGTATTTCTCGTGCGTCTGCTTGGGATGTGGGATTGGGATGCCCTAACAAGAGCATGGAGCGCCTCCTCGCTCCTGGTTACATGTAGTGGTTGTACTGATTTTCTCATCCTTGTCTTTCTCCTGGTGGGTCATCAGATGGGAGTGCTAGACTACCCGAGAGGACTAACACGGACTATGTAAGTAGTTGTGTTTTATTATACTATAAATACCACTTAAACAAATTGTAATTTCTATAATTAATATGTTGTCCTCTTATTTGCCGTGGATGGGTCGGTCCATGGAGATTCACCGAAGATCACTGGATGAGTATCCCAACATGTCGCGTGAAACAAGGGCAATGACTGAGCAGCTGATAGATGACTGGAAGGCGATGATGGGGTTGTGAATTACCTGTCTTTTAGTTTTATATTAGCTGGTAGTCATTGTTTTACACTACTTTGCATTCGGCATGTAATTTAAGAAAGACTTATTTAATATTTGGTTTTGTTGAAACTTTGTTTAATTACTTTTATTGATTTATATTACATAGCTACAACCGTTCAACCTAAGTAAAAGTACATAAATCAGTTCATTGCCTAATTAATGCATCCCACATGTTCCTTCTAACTTCATATTGTTGATCCCATTTGTCGACACTTGGCTCGTGGTGCTCGGTCCACCATCCTGCAATCGGGGGAAGAGGTGAATTTTCTGCAAAATTAATACGGATGAAATGTGACCCCCCAACTGTAGCGATCACAACCTCTCGGGCAGGTGCCTTGACTGTGTTTCGTGCCGCAACGGTAAGATCGTGAGGCATGGGTAGTAGCAGGTTAGCACGGTGCCTACACCAACAATAATAACCCTTGCGTTGAACCAATTAGAAATAGGAAATAAATATTGAATTGCAACCATCTAATGCCGTGATTCAACCACCCCACTATCCCATCGAATACGTTCCACATTCATCCGAACCCTTCCAATCCCGTAAATCCTTTCGTACAGGAATGGATGAGCGGCGCCCTCGTTTGCTATTGTTTCCCGAGCGTCAAACCATTGTGCTTGATTACCGAAGAAGAAGTCGGCCACACAACGAAAGCCACAGTTACCATCGCCAATGACATCCTTCCATGCCGTGATGTAAGGCAACATCGGTCCTGAAAGCAAGTGCAAATACCTGCATTGGCGGATGTCACATGGATCTTCTGCTTCCGCACAAAATTAATGTTCAGTTATTAGTACGCTACAAGATGAAATACGTGCAAATCACAATAGCCACTCGTACCTATTTGTTGTGCACCATGTTGAGTGTTTCGACGGTTGACATGTTCGAAATAACAGGGATCACGTCTTGTATCATTGTTCCTTCGTCGACCTTGAACGTTGTGGTTTACCTATGGATCTTCAAGGTTTGAATGATCCGGATGCAGCTCCTCCTCAATGATGCGAGATACATTTCGAAGTACAGCAGGATCACTACCAATGACCTTATCAACCAGGGAACGAAAATGTGCAGCTTCCTCGGTAAAGTCGTTAACGAAATATCGGTACATCAACACCATCACCGATAACCAAGGTCTTCCAGAACGGATGAATTTTCCTTATATACAAGCCTGTTTGTGCAACTAGCGAATCATGTATCTGGCAAGCACATGGTAAACCGTGGGTCACACGCATTGCACATCCACAACGCTCATACACCTGGTAACTCAGCTCCCTCATCCTTCTCGTCTCGTCATCGAGAACTTTCAAACAATGTTGAGACACCTTGCCGTTAATACGTAACAGTGGCAGTTGTCTGTACTTCTCACTAATCTTCGACCTAGACGCCTCCAAACCATTACGAATTGCAATGATCTGATTACCAATATGATAATGTACTCGGGCCCATATGGTATCCAAAGAACCTGCCGTTGATTAAAATTATAAAAAACCGTTACGATTTATAATTAAAATAACTAAAACGAAGTAAATACATCAATTACAACATAATAACAACGAACCTGTCGAAGATTCAAACCACATCTTCACAGCCGAATTTTGGCTCTCAACTCTGCAAGTACTCGTGTTACCTAAGTGAAGAACTTGGTTCGTCCAAAATGTCACAAATTTCATTTTATGACAAAGCCATGTTCTCTCAACATAACTAATCATTGCCGGATAACTTTCCCACCGAGCCTTCATTGTATCTACATCAGCATTATAATCCGCCTCGGTTGCAGCATCCATGATACGTTTCCATTTGCCGTTTTTGAAACTCGCACCGATCCTCTTGTTTTTGAACACATCAGTGATCCGAGCCTCCACATGTTTGTTAATGTGCCATCGACAAAGTAAATGTGACGTCCCTAGAAACACTTCACTCAATGTCGCACACAGGCCAAGCTCACGGTCTGTCAAAAATACCGAGGGTTCCTTATCATATACCCAATCAACTCTCTTAATCTCTGCAAAACCCACCGATAGCTTGTCCTGCACTCGTTGCGCATGAACACATAAAAAACAAGGAAATTCTTATTTGTTGGTGTTACACCAACTATCTCAAACAACGGCATCCCGTATCGGTTGGTCTTGTAAGTCGAATCCATACCGATCACATGTGGGTACGTGCGTAGTATGTTTACCGTGATTGGGTGCACCATAAACGCATGTTGTAGATCATCAGACATAACCTAGTAAATATACTGACTTTAATTGTCTCGCCAAATGAAGAAATTGTTGAACAACTCCTCTCCCATCAGACATCTCCGTTCTCAAGTCATTCCGGCTGTTGTAAATATGTCTGATGTTTGGATGATCATTAGGAAATTGCTCTGCAATAGTCGCCATGATGTTACGCGGTGCAACCTTCGACTTTGTCATGTCACGCACAACCTTCTTCGCATCTGGGCTCAAGCTACTAATTTTACGATGACCCTCCTGATACACAATCATTGGATGGTTATGGGTCCCAGTTGCATCATTTTTTGCCCAGATCTTCCAACTATCGGTGATGAACTCATAATATATCTTGATGTAGAAAGGAAAACCATTACCTTTGGTTTTTGTGTCCTTTCGAATTGCGTTCTTAAGATCTCTCGGCTTGCTCCTTCGTCCCCGATCACATCTCAAATATCGATACGGTCGACCATCCCTGGTTTTGTTGTAAGACGATTTAACCAAAATAAATCCCTGATTTATGGCAACAACATCCGCCCATTTAACTGCATCATCAAACGTTGGAAAAAACGTGTCTGTGACAAAATTCGCACTATAATTCACACCGTCACCGCCGTCTTCAAACTCCGAATCCTATAAAAATAAAAGAAAACACACAAAACACTCCAATATTAGTATTTTAATTATAATATTAATAACAATATTTTTAAAACAACAACAACAACAATAATAATAATAATAATAATTACAATATTAATAACAATATTTATAAAACAACAACAACAATAATAATAATTACAATATTAATAACAATATTTATAAAACAACAACAACAATAATAATAGTAATAATAATAATAATAATAACAATAATAATAATAATAATAATAATAACAACAACAACAACAACAACAACAACAACAACAACAACAACAACAACAACAACAACAACAACAATAATAATAATATCATAACATTAACTAATATTAACTAATATTAACTAACATCAACTAACACTAACATTAACTAATATCACAACATTAACTAATAATAATCAATTTTTTTTGTAAAAAAATCAGAATTTATTAATGTAAATTAAAAATTTGTACATTGTTATCTATAAGAAAAATTACAAAATTAAATTATTATTAGTTAAACTAAGAAAAAAATAATTAAAAAGTTAAAACCAAATCATTTTGTCCCCCAAACCATATTTTCAGCAATTGTTTGGACCGCATTATCATTTCTTTCTCCCTCTTCTCCAATTTCTCAAGTAAAGCAATTTAGGAAGCACCTTCTTCAGCTTCATCTGTATCCACCTATTTTACTAGTACTTGATGATGCTAGATGTTACTAGAGCTCTTCCGATCTGGTTGACCTACTTGATCTATTACCAACTCCACTGCTAGTCCTCCTGTTTATAGTAGTCTCCACAACTTTACCACCTACCAAATATTTAATAAAAAAACCACTTCAAAACCATCATTCATACAACATATATCAAGCAATTAACGCGAAATAAAATCGATTACTACTTGGGGTTTTGTGTTCATCATCAGAAGCATGTTCACCATCAGAACCATCCATCAAATGGGTCTTTTCTTTTGCATCATTATCCAGCCTACAGCCTTCAACAGTTCCACAAACTTGAACTCCTCCACTATGCTCTTCATACCCTTTCGACCAAACATCAAATCAAAAATAACAAAATCAATTTTTTTTTTTCATTTAGGCATTTCATCAAACACTTGGCAGGCAACACACCAAAACGAAATTAATCCACACTATACCAATTAATCAACATAACCATACTCAATAATTCCAAAATTTATTAACTATTTAAAACCAGAAAATTCCAAACACATAACCCACAAAAAAATCTGTACAAAACATCACATTTACAGTAGGAAGAACACAAAAAGATAGATTTAATTAACAACCCATATAAAAATAAAATAAAAAGATAAAAAAAAGAGGGAAAAGGGCTTTGATTACTGCAAGGAGCCAGAGATCAGGACTGGGAGATAAAAATCTTACCTCAGCTTCAATGAATAGAAAAAAGAATCAATAACAAAGAATATAATCATCAATTGGAGCATATAATTATTAATTAACATTATATACCACTGATTTAAATAAAAATTGAGAACAAATGATAACGAAAAAGAAATAGACCTGGGACTAGCAAAATTAATTTTTCTTCTTCTTCCTACTACGCTGTTCTCTCTCCTTTTTTGACTAGGCTATTTTTGGAGGGATACAGTAAGAATTTAAGGCATAGATGCACTACACACCGTCGCAGCATCAGATTGTCGGAAATCAAAGCCGCCGCACCAGATCTACCGAATTACGAACCATTAGTGCCCCTCATTACGAGATAACTCAAATCCATAAATTATAGGAAACCCTAACCATATGAATTGAAAATTCACCAAAAAATGAAGAAAAACATAGAAATGAGTGCAGCGAGAGAGGATTCCGGCTAGTAACATAGAATTCAGGGTGACAAAAGATGGAAGGTGGCCATTCTCCATCGCCTTATAGCCGCCGTGTCCTAGTTGTTCAAAATTAACTGCAAAAAATTGAACAACTTAGGGTTTAATTGTGAAGTATTAAGTGGAGATTAAAGAACAATTAACATTAAAAAGGGAGAAGCTAAGTAACCATGTGAAACAATTGGGAATAATGAGCAGAAATGTTTTTTTTTTTGTTTTTTTTTTCTTTACTTATTAAATTAGGGCGGGGTTTCAAAATTTTAGTAAAATAATGAGGCGGCAAATCGTAAAACTTTATGTGCCGTTGTATTAACCTACAATGTCGTTGCATTAGCCTATCTGATGCGACGGCACATTGAAGTCATTGTGTTAGCCATTTATTAGTATGAGCCGTTGCATTAGACTTATCTAATGCGACGGAGATGAAATCACCGTTGCATTAGAACTTCTTTGGCTGTTGCATTTGATCGAAAATGTAGTAGTGGTGTATGTTGATTGGTGCACAAGGATTCCATTCTCTAAGTGCTCTATTTGTAACCCTAAGAAAGTTTTTGTCTTTCCATGATCTTCCATTTCATACTCTTTCTTTAAGCAATCAACAGTCACCTAAATCTCTTCAAGAGTTCCAATGATATTCAAATCATTAACATATACTGCAATTATAACAAATCCTGATCAAAATTTCTTTATAAAAATACATGGGGCGATAGGATCATTCTTATAACCTTCTTTTAACAAATATTCACTTAGAAGGTTATACCACATACGCCCAGATTGTTTCAATCCATAAACATATTTGTTCAATTTAATACAGAAATGTTCTCGAGAGAACTTGATTTTTCTGCTTCTGGCAACTTAAATCCTTCTGGGAGCTTCATGTAAATGTCATTATCTAGCTATTGGGCCATTTAAATAAGCTGTGACTACATCTATCAAACGTAAGTCAAGTCCTTCTCTTATTGCTAGACTAATAAAAAATCTAAAAGTAGTTGCATCCACCACAGGAGAGAATGTCTCCTCATAATCAATACCGGGTCTTTGTGAGAATCCTTGTGCAACTAATTGTGCTTTATATATTACAACTTCACCATTTTCATTTCTCTTTTGCACAAAGACCCATTTATATCCCACTGGCTTTACATTTTCAGGTGTACAGACTACAGGTCCGAATACTTCTCTTTTTCCGAGAGATTTTAATTCTGCTTCAATTGCTTCATTTTGGCCAATCATTTCTTTGTCTACATTCTTCAATGGATTTTGGTTCATGATCCTCATTATTATCCACAACATCTAATGCCACATTGCATGCAAAAACATCATTGACGTCGATTTGATTTCAGTTCCCATGTAATTCTGGACAAATTTGTTGAAATTTCTTCATTATCAGATACTTGAATTTCTTCTTGTATCTTGTCTAAAGTCTCTTCGGGGGATCAAATCCTTCAGAAATTGTTTCTTCAATTTGACCATCATCAATCATTGCTCCTTTTCTTTTCCGAGGATTCTTATCTTTAAAACCTATTGGTCTTCCACGTTTCCGATGTGGTTTAGACTCATTAGCAAAAAAATTTTGTCCTTCCGGGACATCAATTTTAAATGGAGCATTTACAGCTCGAATATGTGATTTAGTCACTCTTTTTTGGGTCAGCAAATGAGTCTAGCAATTGATTTGATAAACTTTGTAAATGAATTATCTTTTGAACTTCCAGTTCACATTGTTTAGTTCGAGGATCAAGATCAGATAATGATAATTCATTGCATCTAATTTCCTTTTCGGCTCTCTCTTTTCTCCCCCTAATGTCGGCAAAAGTGACTCGTTAAAAATGAATATCTACAAAACGAGCCGTAAGTAAATCCCCTGTTGTAGGCTCAAGATATTTAATTATTGATGGGGATTCAAATCTGTAGGGAATTTTTCAAACTCTTATTAAGACCTACTGTGGTTCATTATTTTAGGCATGGCGGCGTTCCAAGGAAAAGAAGCTAGAGATAAAAGAGTCGCCAACAACTGTTATGAACTTGTAAACTGTTCACGGGTGTGAAGGTTACACCCCGTTCACGATCATGGAGATCGCTAACTCCTTAGTGGTTCGGAACCATGACTGGATGTTCGGGGATGATGATTAAACCAACCCTAAATAGGCCTCTACTCAATTCTTATGATATTCATGTGCGCTTTTCGATCAACATACATGCATCAAATTAATCCTAAACATGTTTAATCTACGTTGGTTAATTATTAATGCACAATCAAAGCTATTATTGGTGATCACTTGAATTAAAATCATATTAACCTAATTCAGATTATTAATTATCTTATTAGGCGTAATTTCAAGTACAAATTCCCTTAAAACCTGCAAAAAGGGGCGTGATCAAGCAATAATAATAAATTATAACAATCAAGCAACATATGATTAATACAACAATCATCATCATAATCAAAACATCATCAAAACATCGTTAATAGTACGATCCTAGGCATGATACTAAACGAATTAATAAAAAATCCTAGCATGTCACTAATAACCAAATCAAAGTGTTATCCTAAACATGATACTGGAAATCATAATCAACATCCTAAACATGATACTAGGAATCATAAAAACATCCTAAGCATGATTTCTACTCCAAAATCAACAGAACGATAAAAATGATAATTGAATTACTCACTTTGATGCCTAAACCGTCTTGTTATTAAAACAATACACACGTTAGTAAACTTGAAGAAAGTTAAAATCAATAAACTAAATAAATCAAATATAAATTGAAATATATATTTGGGACCAAACCCTCAGAACTATCAACCTTTCACGCCGAGGTCGAAGGCAACGTCGAGCATTGCTTAGAGTATTTTAATCTCGCAAAGGAGGTATGGTGTTTGATTTGGGAGAATTTCAAGGATGTGTTTAGGCTAAGGCTAAGAACATGGGAATTAAAGAAAGATGATGGGAATTATGATGATTATGATGATTGTTGATGATCTCAAAATGGGTAAAACGACCTCTATTTGTAAGGAAAAAACAGAGTCTAGACGATCAGAAAAGATCAGAATTTGAATACGAATAGAACAACTCGTATCGTGGGGCGACAGGAGTATCGCGGTGCGATAGTGTCCATCGCGGCGCGATAGGACTAACGCGGCGCATTGGTCCTGTCGTCCTGGGATGATTTTCTAAAGATAAACAGTCGTAAGGATTTTGATTTCTAATAGAATTGGGTTAACAAAATACATCTGTACATCTTTTAATTTGGACGGGATGAGGACTATCATATGAGAAGTTTCATTCAGCTTCGAACTCTTTTGATCTTTATCTTCTCGAAACGGATAAATTAGAACCTTCTAGAGGGAAGCTCCTAAGGAATCCTAATGGTTTTGGGGTTGGGAATAAGGTATTTGGACCCTCACATGATCATTGGATTGTAGTTAAGGTGGACCTAGGCTCGGTTTGGGCTCGACTTAGTATTTTGGTCAGAACTTATTTGTTTTAAGTCGGATTTGGGCTTATAATATATCGTTAAAAATCTCTT